ATCAATGTCCTTGAACTGTACATGTAGAAATTGTTGAACTGATGTATATTTTGCTGTGTATATTTTCAATAACAACACAAATTATTTTTTTAATAATCATAAAAATTAAAGCGAAACTTAAAAAATTAATAATGCATACAGCATTCGATGGTTGTATTTCCCACTGTCTGGAGAATAAACTAGCATAATATGTAAATTCCCTTTGAATAAATTACTTCACTTCTAAGGAAAAAAAAAAATGGCAGTTACCAACAAAGAGAGACAGAAATTATGTGCATCCACCAGTCTTCTCCTACTACTGTTTATTGTGTAATAAACAAAAAATTTAGGATTATAGTAAGCTCTGGAAGGGAGGTAGGTGAACAGGATAGGAACACAAAGATAGATATAAATTATTGGCATTGTTCTCGTTCCTGGGTTGGCCAATAGGTTCAAAGGTGTTAATTACTGTATTAAAATAATAATGTAAAATATTTTATTATCCATATAAAGCAGATCAATGATGTCAGAGGACCATGAACCAAGGATGGACTGTGGTCTATCTAATCCTGTACATCTAAGGTACATTTTAAAAAGGAAATGAGCAACATTAATTTATTATAGCAACAAATTAATGGAGACATTAAATCATCATGTCAAGGAAGCTGAAAACATATTCAATATAATTAAGCAGCCAATCTTAAAAGCTAAGGATAAAAGAAAAAACAAATTAAATGTGAAGATTATCAAAATATCATCACAAACACCATTCTTGCTTAAAAACTTAAACTTAAAAAGCCATTTGTTGCCATTACTAATCAACAGTTTTAGTATAAAAATGGGTAGAGGACATAAAATTATCATTTTTTGATATGATTAAACCAAAAGAATCATGAAATCAAACTAGAATTAAAAAGAAAATTTAGTAAGATTGTATTGCCTATTTCTTAGCAATATTAAAAACTCGCTGCCATCAAGTCGATTTTGACTCATGGCAACCCCTCCTTGGATTTCTGAGACGGTATCTCTACGGAAGTATATTGCTCAGTCTTCCTTCCGGTTAGCAATACTGGGTTATTAGCAAATAAAACGTATTTTTTCATTTAACAGGAAAAAAGAAGAAAACTTATTTTGCAATTCTCTGAGCATTTTCCCATACACATGGTAATGTTATTTTCTTTTCTATAAATTGGCTATATGTGTCCTTTTATATGCATACCTGGCAGTAGTTTAGTACAAATGCTTTGGATAATGTCAAAGTTAAGTTTACATTTTCTGCAAATATTTTTTGTTTACCATTTTAATTTTCATAAACTTTTCTGGCATATGAATCAAAACTATTTTAAAGGAAAACAATTTTTAATCTTAAAAAAAAAAAAAGATATTATACATCGGAAAAAATTCAAACAGTACCAAAGATTAAAATAAAAAAGCTAAAGTTTCTACATTTAAGCCCTATTTTCCAATGAATATTTTTAAATTTGAAGAAATTAAATCATACTATACACACTAATCCTATTTTGTTTCTCTTCTAGTATCTTGAATATTTTTAATGTATCACTCACAAAATTCTGTTTATTTTTTAATAGCTGCTTAGTATTCCAACATATGGATATACCATAATTAAATTAACTAGATCCTCAGTAACGGTCACGTAGGTGGTTGCCAATTTTTTCTGTTTGTATGATCGATGTCGCAATGGCGCTATGGACCAGAAAGCAACATTTCCGTTCTCTTTCTACATAAAACTGACATAATGAGTGTCATGCCTTCCTTATTTTTGTATTCATTGTGTGCCCTCACAGCTGAATCACACTTTAGGTAAAACTTTTAACTTTTTAAGTGAGACTGGGAAGGAGTTCCAAATTACTCTAATTTATTATTGATGAAATTATATCCTGAAGATACTTTTATGTTCCTCAGACAAACTGGTTCATTTTCAGAAATTCAGAGTTTAAGTCCTCTAATGGTGGTAAGCTTGACCTTACTTTTTTTCAGCTCAAGTTGCTTTATTCTATTATTCTGGGCTATGTATATTCTGACAGAATCTGAGCTACAATAATGTATGATATACCATATATTTTATTCAAGTTAAAATAAATTATATCAATGTTAACTAAAAAATATTACACATAAATGATCTAAATTTTTATACTCTGGAGCACTGGTGACATAGTGCCTAAGGCATCCCGACTGCTAACCAGAAGGCTGACAGTTCAAACTCACCAGCCACTCCTCGGAAGGAATATTGGGCTAGCCCCACCTCTGTAATGCCTTGGAAACCCAAGGAGGGGTCACTATGAGTTGGATCCAACTTGACGGCAGTGAGTTGTTCTTTTTTTTTTTAAAAACTCAACAACTAAAAACTCACTGCTATTGAGTCACACCCGACTCATAGCAACCCCTCCTTGGGTTTCCAAGGCAGTATCACTATGGAAGTAGATTGCCTAATCTTCCTTACGAGGAGTGGCTGGTGGTTTGAACCGCCAGCCTTCTGGATAGCAGTCACATGCCTTAGGCGCTATGCCACCAGCGCTCCCAAGTAGAATATAGGCCTAGAAAGAAGGAACTGTGTTCTATTCATCACCATATACCTGTGGTCCTAAGTTCATGCTTGGCAATATTAGTAAACATTCTATAAATCTTTAATAATTAATAACATAATAAAATTCAATAATTTTAATTCATTTTAAAAATAAATGAGTATTTTTAATAGTGTAGTGGAATTTCTGATTATCCTAAATGTTTTGAAATTTCAAAAGAATACGCCTTGGTGTAGGTTTACTTTTATTCATGCTTTCTGACATCTATTATTTCAATCCTGAATTCTGTGTCTTTAATTCTAAGAGACATTTTTATATTATTTCTCTTATAAATACTTCCCTTCAAAATTTTTAACAGATTTTGAGACTTAGAAGTTTAAAAAAAAAACCCACCACCCCCCAAAAATCAAAAAACATAAAGTTAAAAGATTAACTTGAGAAAAATAACATTCTCTTGATAGTCTTATTTTTAAGGTACTATACATACTGCAAGGAGCTCCACTGGCACAAGAGTGAAGGCATCTGGCTGCTAACCAAAGGTTTGGCAGTTCAAACCCACCAGCCATTCCATGGGAGAAAGATAAGGCAGTCCGCTTCCATAAACATTTATAGCTTTGGAAACACTATTGGGTGGGTAGTTCTACTTTGTCCTATATGAGTCAGAATTAACTCAATGGCAGTGGATTTGGATTTTTTTGGGGGGGTTAGACATATTGCATCGGTGTTCCCATTTTTTTTACCTTTTCTCTATTATTAAATATCTTGTTTATCTCTTTGAACAATATCCTGGAAATTGAACTTCATTTTCTGGTATTTGCATGGTAATTTTTAAATTTCAGCTACCATATTACTTAATATCCTGGACTCTTTATTTATTTTATGATTTTTAAAATAATATTCTGTACTTTCATAGCCACAACATTGTCTCATTTTTTATTACGGTTTTTAAATTTTCTCCAGCTTCTTAAATTGTCACAACATTTCAGATTCTCTCATGATGGAGGTTTTTCTCAAAAGTCTGGTGATCTGTAGTAATCATAATTAACAGAGAGGCACAAAAAGCTAACTTGAAATTTTGGGTGTATGAGTGGGTCACATAGACTGGTGAGCTTCACGGAAGTGTGATCAAGAAATATGTTTAGTTGTGAGCCCATAAACTTGCTTGCAGAAATTTTTCTGAGGCTACTCAATTTCTCTATGAATTAATCCATCAATCTCTTGTTAAAGCATGGCATGGAGAAGAGAGAAAGTAGATGTGGTAGAAATAGGCCTCTATACTAGCATTCTGGGCGGCAGTGGTGGTCCAGTGGTAGAATTCTTGCCTGCCTTGTGGAAGACAGCCAATGCATCTCCACATGCAACTAGCACATCTGTCAGTGGAGGCTTGCATATTGCTACCATGCTGAGTATGTTTTAGTGGAGCTTCCAGCCTAAGACAGACTAAGAAGAAAAGCCTGGTGATGTACTTTTGAAAATCAGACAATGACTTTGCATCACAACAGTCTGATCCACAACCTATCATGAGGAAGGCAAAGAACAAAGCAATGTTTCCTTTAGTTGTGCATGGGGATCAACTTCACAGTAGCTAATAATAAATAGCATTCTGTAAGCTAAGCAAGATCACTATTTGGTATTTGTATTTTCACTTGTTTACCCTAATTTTACTACAGTGTCTCATCCTCTATCCTCAGCTATGTATGGTGGCCTTGAATTTGGAATTGCTATACCTCAGATTAACCCTCTTGTTTCCTGCTGGAGTGAAGTATTAAACTGTTTCTTACTAACTTTCAATGAACATCCTTCTTTTCAACGCTATGCCTCACTTGTCTCTTCTGTGATATATGATATCTCCCATTCTTGAGCCTTTCTGGTGTTTTGCAGTGTTAACTGGCTTGCTTCTTACTGGCATCTGCTCCTCAGGTATTCTCAGTTTTCTTCCATCCAAATCCATCTGTCAAAATTTGGTCATATCACCTGTCCATCTGTTGTCTCCTTGACCCTTATGGATTTAATTGTTTTCTACTTCCATAAGCACGTTTTACTGGAATTTCAGAGGGAGCAGAAAAAAGAAGGTTCAGTCTGCCATGTTTAACTATAAGCTCTTCTACTTTCTGTATATAAAAATAAGGCTTAAAATGTAAATAATGCTGGATAATATATCAGCAGAAAAAGAAATAAAGCACAGAATGGCTGATACAAGATATTTCTCTGAAATAAAGTTTGATAAGGGAAAAGCATAAAGACAGTCTAACTCAAAGGTGAATAAGAAGAACAAGAAGGGGAAAAAGACATGCTAGCTCAATACCTTCCATGTTGCTTTTTGGTTCTTAAAAGTAATAATGTTAGAAAGGGGGAAAAAGGTTTCATCTTTGCTATATAACTCAAATCATGCCCTAAACCTAAGAAGAGAGTCAATGAATTTCAAACATATAGACAGTTAACAGATTAAAGCAATTAAGACTACATAAATTTACTTACTTGTATGGAGCCTGTCAGACCTCTGGAATGACTTCTTCCCCAAGCCTAGCAAAGGATTTTCCATTTTAACTGAGGAACAAAAACTGGAGTTTGAGTTCTGGGGGCTGCTTGACTGGCCATCCGATTGCTTTCCTTCCCATATTGCTAGGGGAAAAATAAGTAATGACTAATGGAACTGAAGTTACTGATAGAAATCAACCAATCGATTAAGTAATTAATCATTCAGTGCTAACTAAATAGAGTATATATGAATATATGGGACAATATAACCCTGAGTCTGAAAATTAGGGGACAAAAATTAAAATAAAGCTCCTTCCTTCCTCCCAGTAAACCATTTCCTTTTGGGTGTAAATTTCCTTGCTTAAAAAAGGCAAAGTCCTACAAGACACGGATTAAGTCTGGCAGATCCATATAATCAGTCTCTGGTATTAAAAAGTCTGCATCTAGAGTAGCTTAGATTAAAAACAAAATAAGCAGCAACACCATCACCAAAAATCCAAAGGCCTTATGGACATGTACTGTGAAAACTCAAAGGTAGTACATATTAAGAAAACTTTTCATTTTTAAAGAAGAGAATTGGTAAAGAGTTCAATTTGAGCCTCTTGAAAACATCAGCTTTATGAGGTTACTCAATAGAGGCTTCGAAGTATTATGACTTTAGACATCCTGGAAATTGGTCATTGTTCTCATACCTACCTGAAAATTCCATGGACACTTTTTATTAGTAACTATATGATTATTTTGCATAAAATTTCCAGGAAGGAACTATATTGATTATTTGGCAGTACAAAGAGTATATGAATAAATGAAACTGAAACATAAATGATATGGTGTACGAATTTGGAAAACGAACACAAAAACACTAAGGGAAAAATCTGCGTACCAGGCTTGGCAGGCACAGAGTCACCGGCTGCTTTGACAGTCTTCAGAGAAAGATGCTGGTTGGAGGAGATAGACATGCTTGGCCTGCATTGCTGCTGCTGCTTCTTCTGCTGTTGCTGCTTTAGAGCCTATAATGAGAAAACTGACTATAAGAAAAAAAAACAAACCAGTTTTTAATAATAACAAAGTGACTTCTTTTTAAGTGGTGATCCTCCAATTTCTTATAAATCTAGCAAAGCAAACAAAAAGCAAAATTAAACCAACCAAACACAATAACGCTAAACAACTCAAAGTTTTTTTTGCCAGTATTGTTCCTTTATATTATAGAGAAATATAAAAATATGAAATAATGAGAAACAGTCATTAACATCTTTTAGAACTTAAAAATCACCAGTAAGCCAAGGATTTCCCAAACTTGTAGAAGCATAAGTAGAATTTTTACATGTTGTTCTCAAACATTTTAAGCCCTGCATCAACATGCGTCCCATTTGTAGCATCTCTATGTAGAAATGAATAAGGAAGACCGAAGAAGAGTTGATGCTTTTGAGTTGTGGTGCTGGCGAAGAATGCTGAAAGTACCATGGACTGCTAAAAGAACTAACAGATCTGTCCTGGAGGAAGTGCAGCCAGAATGCTCCTTGGAAGCAAGAATGGCCAGACTTCGTCTCACCTATTTTGGTCATGTTGTAAGAAGGGACCATTCCCTGGAGAAGGATGTCATGCTTGGTAGGGTGGAGGGTCGACAAAAGAGGGGGAGGCCTTCAACGAGATGGATTGACACGGTGGCTGCAATGATGGGCTCAAGTATAGCAGGGATTGTGGGGCTGGCGCAGGATCGGGCAGTGTTTCGTTCTGCTGTGCAGGGGTCGCTATGAGTCGGAAACGACTCGACGGCACTTAACAACAACAACAACAACAACTATGTAGAAATGAAAATATTTAGTTTATGTATGTTTCAGATTATGCATGCTATGAACAAAAGGTTGAAATGATTGCAAGTGATTACTTGCGTTAAATATTAGGTAAGAACAACAAGATTTGGTACCATGACCTATGGCAATGCAGTAAACAGAAGAGTGGGGAGATTCAAAAACACTGGGTCTAATAATACTGTAACTCCTTCTGTTTATTTCACAATATTTTTGTTTCTATGATGTAACTAGATAATACTAATGAACAGAAAAAGCAGAACTTCTCATAATTTTAATCATGAAAATAGATGAAGACAACCTTTTTTAACTCAAGGGTTAAAAAAAAAAAAGTAAAAGCTACATTTTAGGGAAAGTTCGAACTTTTTTTTACTGTGCTGATTTGCCAGTTTCAATCTTCAACCTTCAAGCTCATCATGTAGTAAAGTCAGACATCTGGCTTAGATTTACGGACAACATTTATAAGAGGTGAGGCAGAGGCTCAATGGGTAAGAAGTGGCGGTGCTTTCGTTAACTGTGTTTACTCTACCATTTTTTGAATCAGACCAGAAAATACCCAAGTCACTTCAGGTCAGTACAAAATTCATCTATTCTGCTGTGATCAATGTAAATTCAGACACATGATGGAAGCAGAATAACTTCTGCTAATCAAGAACCGTACACAGTAGTTTATATACCCCGTTCTTCATTCTCTTGTTTTAAAACTTAAGAACAAACAATACAAAACTCTCATGTGTGGTGAAGAATAACTACCAAAAAAGTAATTTTTCCAGATAATACCATGAAAAAGATCCACTGGCAGCAAGGACTTACTATGCATTCCAAAATTCAAATTTATTGAATTTTCCATACTGATATTCCTAAAAATATATATATATATATATATATATTTAACTCCTAGGATTACAAGAGTATAATACATGAATACAGGAATAATATACATGTCATAGATTAACAAAGTTTCAGAAAATACTTGCCATTTCTCTGTGGAAAAGAATCAGCTTATACTTCTTACATTTTTCCAAAGAACTTACAAAAAATACAAGTGTTATAGAATATTCATTTAGGCAGTAATTCATCTTATCAAATTTAGTGTTTCTTTTAATAATAGCACTTTTGGCTTGAATGCTTTAAGACATACATAATTTTCTTTTATATGTTATTAACTTCTAATAATATAGGTAATACATGAAAATATTTTTACTATTTAATTTCCATAAAATGACACTCTTCTATGACTACCACTCCTACACCTGGTCCTCAATTTTAAGAGATACCTTTTATGGATTTTAAACCATGCAGTATCCTTTGTTCTGTTAGAATGACTGCCTTTTAAACTATATACAGGTTCCTCACAAGCACAATTAAGCGTTCTGGAATTCCCATTCTTTGGAATGTTATCCATAATTTGTCATAAATATAATTTTCCTTACTGAATTTGTTTTCACTTACATATTATTGTTGTTGTCAGGTTCCACGGAGTTGGTTCCAACTCATAATGACATCATGTACAACAGAATGACATAGCCTGGTCCTGCACCGTCTTCAAAATTATTGCTATGTTCGAGCACATCACTGCAATCACTGTGTCAATCCATCTTATTGAGAGTCTCCCCCTTTTCTGCTGACCCTCTATTTTTCCAAGCATATCCTTCTCCAAGGAATGGTCCCTCCTGACACATGACCAAAGTATGAGTGATATGATAAGTATGACCATAATGAAGTCTGGGCATTCTTGCTTCTAAGGAACATTCCAGCTGTCCTTCTTCCAATATAGATTTGTCTGGCATCCATGGAATATTTAATCATTTTTGCCAACATCACAATTCAAATAAACCAACTCTTTCATTCCTTATTTATTGCTCAACTTTCATACGCATATGAGGCAACTGAAAATCCCATGGCATGGGTTAGGGACAGCTTGTCTTCCAAGTGACATCTTTGCTCCAAAAGTTTAAAGAGGTTTTCTATACCACATTTGCCCAGTGCAATATGTCATTTGATTTCTTGACTACTATTCCTCATGAGTACAATTAAATGTTCTGGAATCCCCAGCCTTTGGAATGTTCTCCGTAATTTGCCCACAGACTCAAATGCCTTTGCATGGTCAATAAAACACAGGTAAACATCTTTCTGGTACTCTTTGCTTTCAACCAAAATCCATCTGACATCAGCAATGATACCCCCCCCCCATGTCTTCTTCTGAATTCATGTTGGATTTCCAGCAGTTCCCTTTTGATGTACTGCTACAACTCTTTTTGAATTATCTTCAAGAAAAAATTTATTTTCAAGTGATATTAATGATGTGTTGTTGTTGCTATGTGCTGTCGAGTTGGACCCGACTCATAGCGACCCCTCCTTGAGTTTCAAAGGCAGTATCACTACGGAAGTAGATTGCCCAACCTTCCTTGTGAGGAGTGGCTGGTGGGTTTGAACCACCAGCCTTCTGGTTAGCAGTCTAGATATTAATGATATTGTTCGATGATTTCTGTATTGATGTGGTTGTTGTTGTTGTTAGGTGCCGTCGAGTTTGCTCTGACTCATAGTGACCTGATGTAAAACAGAACGAAACACTGCCCGATCCTGCGCCAGACTCACAATCCTTGCTACACCTGAGCCCATCGTGGCAGCCACTGTGTCAATCCATCTGACTGAAAGCCTTCCCCTGTTGCACTGACCCTCCACTTTACCAAGCATAACATCTTTCTCCAGGGAGTGGTCCCTTCTAACAACATGACCAAAATAGATAAGATAAAGTTTGGCCATTCTCACTTCCAAGGAGAATGCACTTCTTCCAGGACAAATCTGTTAGTTCTGGCAGTCTATGGTATTTTTGATATTCTTTGTCAACACCACAACTCAAAAGCTACTCTCCATTCTAAAGCAAGTTTCAGAGTCTTTTCTGACATCCATTTTTTTCTTTTATTCATTTCCTGTCTTTTTAATGATCTTTTGCTTTCTTTGTGGATGATATTCTTGATGTCATCCACAATTCCTCTGGTTTTCGGTCACTGGTGTTCAATGCATCAAATGTATTCTTTAGATGGTCTCTAAATTCAGGTGCGATATAATCAAGGACATTATTTTGGCTCTCGTAGACTTCTTTTAAAATTGTCTTCAGCTTCAACTTCAACTTGAATGTGAGCAATTGTTGGTCTGTTCCACAGTGAGCTCCTGGCCTTGTTTTGGCTGAAGACATTGAGCTTCTCCATTGTCTCTTTGCACAGATGTTGTCGATCTAATTCCTGTGTATTCCTCTGGTGAAGTCCATGCGTATTGCCACCATTTATGTTGTTTAAAAAAAGGTATTTGCAATGAAGAAGATATTGGTCTTGCAAATTTCTATCATGTAATCTCCAGTGTCATTTCTATTACCAAGGCCATATTTTCTAACTATCAGTGATTCTTCTTTGTTTCCAACTTTTGCATTCCAATCACTAGTAATAATCAATATATTTTAATTTCATGTTTGGCCAATTTCAGATTGCAGAAGTTGGTAAAAATCTTCAATTTCCTTATCTTTGACTGTGGTGATAGGTGTGTAAATTTGAGTAATAGTAGTATTAACTGGTCTTCCCTGTAGGCGTATGGATAATATCTTATCACTGACAGTATTGTACTTCAGGATAGAGCTTGAAATATTCTTTGTGATGAAACATGCCACGTCATTCCTCTTTAATTTGTCAATCCTGGCATAGTAGATCATAAGGTTGTCTGATTGAAAACAGGCCAAACCAGTACATTTCAGCTCACTAATGCCTAGGATATTGATCTTTATGTGTTTCATTTCATTTCTGACAATTTCCAATGTTCCTAGATTCTTATTTCGCACATTCCATGTTCCGATTTTTAATGGCTGTTTGCAGCTGTTTCTTCCCGTTTTGAGTCGTGACACATCAGCAAATGGAGGTCCCCAAAACTTTACTCCATCCACATCATTAAGGTTGACTCTACTTTGAGGGGGAGCTCTGGTGGCATAGTGCCTAAGGCATCTGACTGCTAACCAGAAGGCTGGTGGTTCAAATCCACCACCCACTCCCTGGAAGGAAGGCTGAGCAATCTACTGTAGTGATACCACCTCAGAAACCCAAGGAGGGGTTGCTATGAGTCGAGTCCGACTCGAGAGCAGTGAGTTTGGTCTGGTTTGGTTTACTACTTTGAGGAGGCAGCTCTTTCCTAGTCGTATTTGGAGTGTCTTCTGACATGAGGGGCTCATCTTCCGGCACTTTATTGGACAAAGTTTCAAGGCTATTCATAAAGTTTTCCAGTAATATATCAGTCAGCATTTCACTGCTATTTATAAGGTTTTACTGGCCAATTCTTTGAGAAGTGGATGGCCCCTTCCTTCTTCAAAGTCTGATTTCTTCTGGAAGCTCCACTGAAACCTGTCTACCAAGTGTGACCCTGCTGGTATTTGAAATACCAGTAGCATAGCCTCCAGCCTCACAGCAACACACAAGCCATACCACAGTACGACAAACTGACAGACAAGTGGTGGGTATTCTGACAGATCACTTTTTTTCTGAAATGGACACATATATGGGTTTCTTCCAGACAGTTCACCAGGTGGCTGTTTTCTAAAATCTTGGCACAGATGAGTGTGCGCTTCCACCATTGCATTCATTTGTTGAAACATCACAATGGGTATTCCACCAATTCCTAGAGCCTTGTTTTTTCGCCAGTGCCTCAGTGCAGCTTGGACCATTGGTTCCTGATCAAACGCTATCTCCTGAAATGGTTAAACAACCACCAATTCTTTTTGGACAGTGACTGTATTTCTTCCATCTTGTTTTGATGCTTCTCAAGTTCTTCAGCATCTTGCCCGTAGAATCCTTCAATATTTTAACGTGAGGCTTGAGTTTCTTCTTCAGTTCCTTCTGCTTGAGAAAGCTGAGTATGTTCTTACCTTTGGATTTTTAACTCCAGGTTATTTGCATATTTCATTATAGTACTTTGTCTTCTCAAGTTGCTCTTTGAAATCTTCTGCACTTTATTTTTTTAAAAATATGGATTCATTTTATTTTTTAAATGCATTTTATTGAAATATAATTTATGTACAGTGAAATACACAAAACTAAAGTGACATGGGTCAATGCATTTTTTTTTCCCCCTGTGGTCCCTTCCCTCCCCTCCCACCCCTGGCAACCAACAAAGAAAGTTTCTCTCCACATATAAACCTTTCCTTGACCCTCCACAGCAAGGAACTAATACTTTATTTGTCCTTCTGTGATTGACTTATTTCACTCAGCATAATAATGTCCTCCAAATTCATCCATATTATCTTTTGCACTTTTTTACTTCATCATTTCTTCCATTTGCTTTAGCTAATCTCCATTCTACATCAAGTTTCAGAGTCTCTTCTGACATCCATTTTGGCATTTTCTTTCTTTTTAATGACTTTTGCTTTCTTCATGGATGATGTCCTTGATGTCAACCCAGAACTCATCTGGTCTTCAATGATTGGTTTTCAATGTATCACATGTATGTGTTATTTATAGTCATTCTTCTATAAAAAATATATACCACTGTTTTGTGTATATGTATATTTTCATAAATGATATAATGCCTTACCTGTTGTAGTATAACTTTATTTTATGATTCAACATTTAGGTAATTTTTTCATGTTTCTACATATAGATCAATCTCATTACAAAACGAAATCAACTTTTACTCTTGTATAGCTGCCTGGTATATGGCTATATACCATTATTTATTGTTTCCTAATTAATATCTATTACACTATTTTCAAGGTTTTGCTAATAAAAACTTACAGCCAAATATCATTCTGTGTGTTTGTGTATGTATGTATGTAGGTGTGTATCTCTGAAACACAGATTCCAAAAATTTCATTCAGCTGTTCATGGGGTATGTGCATTTTAAACTTTAATAGATGTTGCAAAATTTCTCTCCAATGTGGCTATAAAAAATCACATTCTACCGCAAATTACAAGTAGCTGTTTCCCTATCAACTTGCCAATGCTGGATGTAATTAAGCTCCCTTATACAAACCAATCTGACAATAAAAATAATCAGTTATTTTAACGTTTCTTTAATTAACATAAGAGACTACTTATCGGTCATTTGTATTTCAGAAACATCCAGAGCTAGTTCTTTGAAAAGCTTCCCAAAATAGATAAACTGCTGGCAAGCAGTATTAAGAAAAAGATACATTACAAATGAACAACACTGAGAAACAAAAGGAGACATAAAAGAATACTGTATACAACTTCCTCGGAAGGAAGGTTGGGCAATCTGCTTCTGTAGTGATACCGCCTCAGAAACCCAAGTAGGGTTGCTGTGAGTTGGATCCAACTCAATGGCAGTGAGTTTGAGATATACAACATTATGGCGATATTTGAAAAAACTAGGTAAAATGAACCATTATCTAAGAAAAAGAGATTTCCAAAAGTGGCTCTAAATGTAGAAAATCAGAAGAGATTAATAACCTAAGAGGAAGGTGAAGCAGTAGGAAAACAATGTTAAAAGGTGAGATTTATTAAACTTTCAAGAATTAAATAATTTTTCAAATTTTTTCTAAACATGGCTAGCTATAGAACTTATTTTATGATCATAAAATAATTCTGATCCCAAAAAAACAGTATAAGAAATTGGCACAATCTGAACTAAAATCTTCAAGAGATTTTAATAATGTATTAAAAACAAACTAAACATGAGACAAGTAACCTGATCATGTCAGTAAATCCTGGGTGGCAGGAAAAAAAAAAACCTTGAGAAATTTAACACTTATTCATGACTCAAAAAAGAGCTTTGGTGACATAGCAGTTAAAGCATTCGGCTGCTAACCAAAAAGTTGGTTCTTCAAACCCAGCACCCATACTCCACAGGACAAAGAGGAAGCAGTCTGCTTCTGTAAAGATTTATAGTCTTGAGAGCCCTAATGAGGCAGTTCTACTCTGTCCTATAGCATTGGTATAAGTCAAAACCAACTGGACAGCAGTGGGTCTGTCTGTATTTTATTTAATTCATGACTTAAAAACAACAAAAACATCTCTTAGGAAATTAGAAACAAGTTAGAAACTGTTTAAATGTGATTGAAAAGAGTAACCACTAAAAACCTACAACAGATATCATACACAGCTACATAAATTATTAAGTGACCAAATTAGAAATACTATATGGAATTTTCCATCAAAAGAGAGTAGCAGAGATGGCTTTAAAGAAATTCTAAAACACTACCAGCGTCAGGCATTTTTAATGTAGGAGATTATAGTTCTGATAAACACAGACAAGCATGATTACCTGCTTTAGTGCCTTCTTGCTGTGCTTCTGTGATGGAGAAATGACTTTACCTGCTGGAATGGAGGGTGATGGGCAGCCTGACTGGGGGGAGGATGGCTGAGACAGTCTAGACGATACTAGGGGGAAAAATGACAATAAAAAATTATGTCATCAGAGCTGGTATCAAGCACCATTTCTTCCCCAATCATATGCTGCTACCTGTGTTAAGGAATTGTGATCAAACACTCTGGGAAGGATCTTCTTTATGTAGGTGCATTGCAAAGAGCCTCCCTTTTCAGTTTATTTCCTTAGAAAGCTCTACTGAAGGATGATAGGATGGGGGAAGGATGCATGTTAGTATTCATTACTTTTCATTCTTTAATTTTTTAATAGAATTGATTGAAGAAGTAGGAAGTAGAAAACAAACTATGAGTCACCAAATTAAATTCAGAGAAGATTCTAGACTCCTTTGGACAGTATTAATATTCAAAAGGTTAAGTGACAACATGATACAGTGCACAAGCCCTGGATCGACAGAACGGGCCATTCCATCTTAAACACTATGTCTTTAATCCTTATATTCCTTCACCTCTTAAATCAACAGTTTTAGATTTAGTGTGAGGGGGCATTTTGGGACTTCTCTAATGAAAACAATGTAGGCTGCACATGATGTAAGCACTAACTCCTTCACTAGTTGTTATGCAGCCTGTCAAAGTTTACCTAAATCTTAGCCTTATGTGAATGAAGGTTCTCCATTCAAAAGCCTATACACTCTTACCATAAACTGCCAGTAGATCTTTGTTACGTTCTATTAAATTTCAACAGTGTATATTATTCATAAGAATATAAAAATTACTGATTCAGACCCCTTAATAATAAAATGTTGAAATTATAACCACTACTGCTAGTATGACTCTCAAAGAATGTATGTTTACTACTGCCTTCTTCCTCTTCTTAGTAGTTGGTCTAAAAAAGTCTGAGTGGCAAAATGACACCTATGATAAGCTAATGAGGTTTAAGATATCAAATAAAGTATGTACTGGTAGGTAGCTACATGACATGACAATAAGGATCATGGTTCAACAAAATATACAAGTTTTGAAATACAGCATTTCAATTTGCCCTTAGATATCTAGAGAAAGCAACACACAGTCATATACATTTTTAAAAAACTACAACAAGCAAATATTAATAAGATGACTTATTAGCATGCTTTAGTACCCAACCCTATGATAAAGTTTATAAGTAAGGGACATAATCAACACATACTCAGTTTGACACAGAAATAAAAGAACAAATAGTTCACAGTAACGTAGTCTACAGAATGGAGTTAAATCATTCTCCCCCCGCCAAACTTTTTATTGGATTTGGGTGAAATTTTGCAAAGCAGATTTGTTTTACATCCAACAGTTGATATACACATGTTGTTTTGTGATACCAGAAACATTCCCTGCAGTGTTAACATCTCAATTCTCACTTCATCCCTGTGGTTACTCTTTCTTTGCCCTTCTTCCTATGCATTCCTGCCTCCCTACATTTATCCCTGTGCAAATGCTGCCCTTCTGATCTTCCATGGTTGATTTTTTAAAAAATTTTTATTGTGATTTGGATGAAAGTTTACAGAGCAAATTCATTTTCCAAGCAGCAGTTCACATACTATTTTGTCTCATGACGTTGACTGCAATTTCCCACAATGCAACAGCTGGTTGATTTTTTTTTTTTTTTTTTTAAAAAAGCACCATTTCCCTAGTAAACGTGTTCAGCCCGTAGGCCTGTCTATAATTTGGCTGAGAGTTAAGCCATGGGAGTGAGATCAACTCCAGGACCAAAGAGTAACTCTGGGCCATAGTCTTGGGGGTTCACCAATATCTCTCAGACCAGTAAGCCTGTTTTTTTTTTTTTTTTTTTTTATGATTTTGAGTTTTATTCCACATTGTGGGAGCTAGATAATTCTTGGGGAGCTCTGGTAGTGTAGTGCCTAAGTGACTGCTAACCAGAAGGCTGGTGATTTAAACCCACCAGCCACTCCTCAGAAGGAAGATGGGGCAATCTACTTCCATAGTGATACTGCCTCGGACACCCAAGGAGGGGTCGCTATGAGTCGGGTCTGACTCAATGGCACATAACAACAACAACAACAATAGAAAATTCTTGAGATGGTTGTGCAGCAAAAAGAAACCACATCCTTGGTGAACTTAGATGTTCACCAATTGATTAAATAACAACTTTATTGAGACGTAATTCAAGTAACATTCACCCTTAGCTTTGAGTAACAGGTTTACTGAAATAATCTATATACTACATAATCCACCTATTAAAAGCATGTAATTAAATGGTTATTGGTATATTTAGAATCATGCAACTGTCACTACAATTAAATTTCAATGCTCCAAAAAGACCTTGGACCCTTTAGCTGTCATTCTTTCCCTACATCACTGTTCCCAATCTTAGGCAACTCAAATCTTGATGAATTTGCCTATTCTGAACATTTCATATAAATGGAGTGTGATATAGTATGTGGTCTTTGTCTTTGAGACTGGCTTCTTTCACTTAGCATAATGTTCTGAAGGTTCATCCATGTTGTAAATGCTTCATTTCTTTCTATTGCCAAATAATAATCCATTGTATGCATATACAATAAAAACCATGAGCGCCAAAACTCGATGGGACTGCCTTGTTTTCTCATGTCTTGCAAGTTTTCACCTTTGACGGGGTACAGTCTTACCACTTTTCTATTGTTCTCTATTAGTGGAAAATCGAGTTTTTCTTCTCTGATAAGTTACAGCCTCTCATAGGTTCTGGCTTTGGAGGTTTTATTGCATCTCCTTTTGTTCACCCATTCAGCAGTTGATGGGACATTTGGTTTGCTCCACTTTTTGGCTCTGATGAGTAAATGCTATGCAGATCAGTCATGTTACAGGTTTTTGTGTGGACAGGTTTTCAAATTTCTTAAATATAATCTAGGAGTGGGACTGATGGGTCCCAGTTTAAATTTAAGGAGTCCTGGTGTCGCAATGGTTAATCACTCAGCTGTTAACCAAAAGGTCAGCAGTTCAAACCCATTAGCCACTCTGCAGGAGAAATATGTGGCAAAATGCTTCCATGGAAATTACAGCTTTAGAAACCCCATGAGGCAACTCAACTCTGTCCTTTAGGGTCATGAGGAGTGATAACTGACTCAACAGCAAAGGGTTTCTAGGTTTGAGGTGGTAACTCTTTTTAATTTTTTGGGAAACTTTACCAAACTGTTTTCTGAAGTATTCGCAACTATTTTTCCAATCCCACTAGCAACATGAGGGTTTCAATTTCTCCACATCCTCAGCTACACTTGATATTTTCTGTCTTTTTTTATTTGACCACTACTTTAAAAAGAATATAATGAAAACTATTGAGATCTAATTATTTTCTTTTTAACATCTTGCAGAAATCTGAGAATATGTATTTTCTCCTGACCCCATGTACTACCTGATTAAAACCAGAAAACCAACAAACCAACCAAAACATCTCTATTACAAAATATGAGTTCTATCTTGCAGCCAATAAGATTACCTGTAATTACCAGGGCAAACTGCTTGGAATGTTTCCTTTTAAGGCAAAAGGCTTTCTAACCAATGAATCTATAACATATCACAAAGCCAACTGAAATAAATCATGAAGATTACAGCACCTACCAGTGATGAAAGAGATTTAATCCTTAATATCAATTACTGGTCTCATAACATCTATGAAGTTTAAACAAAACTTCTAATTTTTTTTTTTTTTTATTGTGATTTGGGTGAAGATTTACAGAGCAAATTCACTTTCATACAGCAGTTCACATATACTTTGTCTCATGTCATTGACCACAGTTTACCACAATGCAACAGCTCCTTTCCCACTTCCTCCCCATAGTTACCTCTTCCCTGTGTCTTCCCTCCATACACTCCTGCCCCCTGAGCTGTCTCCCTGTGCATAAGCAGCCCTTCTTTCTCCCATGATTGTTCTCTCCAAAGAGTGCATCTACTTGAGGTAAATGTTCAACTCATTATGACTGTATTTTGTTTGTCTGGAAACCAAAGGTGTGGGTTCAATTCCAGACCTGAAGGGCAGCTAGGGGCCATAGTCTGAGTGGTTCCACCAGGCTCTATCAGACCAGCAAACCTGGTCCCCACAGCAAATTGGTTTTTTTGTTTGTTTGTTTCTCCAAATGATTTTGAGTTTTGTTCCACATTGTTCTCCCTCTCTATCAAGGATCTCCTAGATAGATCCCCTTTCCAGTGGATGACAGTGGTAGCCAGGCACCATCTAGTTCTTCTGGTCTCCTAGTTGTATAGGCTGCAAATCGGATGGTGTACCAGTTGCTAGGACTAATTGTTTCCAAGAATTTTGGTTTTCTTCATTCTTCTTTGCTCTGGACGAGGAGAGACCCATCGTTGCATCTAGATGGCAGCTTCTGTTCTAATTTTTTAAATATTAAAGCGTCAGAGGTACAAACAACAACAACAACAAAAGACTTAAATGCAAAGTCTTAAACATAACAAATGTCAAGAATTATTCCTTCTACTAATTCTACTAATAATAATTCCTTCTACTGCCTATAATAATATTTTGCCCATAGAATTTCACAACATTGCGACTTGAGGCTTGAATTTTTTTCTTCAGTTCTTTCAGCCTGAGAAATGCCAAGCGTGTTCTTCCCTTTTGGTTTTCTAACTCCAGGTCTTTCCATATTTCATTATAATAATTGACTTTGTCTTCTCAAGCTGCTCTTTGAAATCTGTTCAGATCTTTTATCGTGTCCATTTTTTCCATTTGCTTTAGCTACTCTCCATTCAAGAGCTAGTTCCAGATTCTTTTTTGGCATTCACTTTGGTCTTTTCTTCCTTTCCTGTCTTTTTAATGACTTTTTGCTTTCTTCTTGTATGATGTTCTTGATGTCATTCCACAACACATCTGGCTTTTGGTCACTGGTGCTCCGTGTGTCAAATCTATTCTTCAGATGGTCTCTAAATTCAGGTGGGATATGATTAAGGTCATATTTTGGTTCTCCTGTCCTTGTTTTAATAGTCTTCAACTTCAACTTGAACCTGCATCTGAGCAACTGATGGTGTGTTCCACAATCTGCTCCT